AGAAATTTTTTTCGTTATATTTTTCTCTTAAGGTAATGGATAACTTTTTTTTCCTGTTGACATTCATTAATTTTCTGGTTTTCGTCTGAATTATACAACGAGCCCCAAAAATTATGAGGACCTATTTTCGAGTCTCATATACAGGCAATTAGCAGTCCAGCGGAGACAATGTTAATATGAATAGCTTAGCTTAATATTACTAATTCTTTACTGATACTTTGAAATAATTAATTTGTGAGGCTTACAATTCTTAATTTTTTGATGGCCCTTAAATTTGAAGCTATCAACTTCTCTTCCCTATTCAAAAGTTTGACTAGCCAATCAAGTAGCCCATAAGTTAATAAATTTGCTAACTTAATTTATTCGTGACTTCAGATGCTATTGCACGCACTAATTTAAAGGTAGAAATATATTTATTATTTATGTTTTAGTCAACACTATCTGAATTTTTAGAATCAGCCCCTTCACGCAGTCTAGTTGGTAAGACGTTTCACTTGTAACCAACAAGTCATAAATTGGAGTAATCAAGGAGATAAGTAGGGAACAACTATTGATTTTCTTTAGATTGGAATGTAAAAAAGAAAAAAATAATAAAAGAACCCATTTTGACTAAAAATACTAAAAAAGAGAACACTTTGCGCAACGGCTCGGGCTGTTTGAGGATAAATCTGTTTCACTGATTCCGTTTCCAAAAGAATAAACAAGAAATATTCTGCAACAAAAGCAGCAATTGATTGCATGCTCAAAGAATTCATATAAACAGATACTAATCAATCTCTGCATATACAACACTTTTTTTTTGGATTGTAAAACAGAAAAGGATCTGTTTAAAACATAGTTGAGGTACTAGATTTTTGAAAAGATAAGATTAATTATGGAGAATGTGTAAATGTAAGAAAATGTAATAATTATTAATATATGTATATATATGATAAGTCCAATAAAATTTAAATGTGTTAACGAGTGGTTAATAGATACTCATTAGAAAAATTGAACAGACAAATAGCAATCAAGGTACGTTTGAATAATTAATTCTAGTTCACTTTCATTAATAACACCCGAGTTTAATCCATCTGGGCATCTACGACATTTTCTTTAGGTTAATGAAAAAAGCAGGCAACGTTTGCGGTTGTTAATTACTCCCTCCCTTTTTTTATAACTGACGTCTAAGGTTTTGCATACCAATTAAGAAAAGTTTTTCATTGCTTAAATCTGTACACTACTTTCCTTTTGTACCCTCATTAATTGTCCAATTTACCCATATTTTCTCTCACTAGAGTACTAAATGGTGCTGTTTTACTAGGCAAAAAGCAATGCAAACTAACTCCCACCAAACTAGGAGTATCAATTAAGAACCCTGTATTGAAAAAGAGAGATAAAAGGGTAAAATTGTGAAAAAATAATTAATACTGTATGGGGATAATAAAACGACAGATAAAAGTACACTAGAGCAAATTTCTTAAACGTCAGTTATAAAAAAAGGGAGGGAGTAGTAGTTAATGTTTGAATAATTGATACCAGTTGACTTTCATCCAATGGTACCTAAGGGTTCGCCTGGGAGTGGAGGATTTGGGTAGAAAAGAAAAGGAAAGAAGAGAAATTTAATTTTTCCTTCATTTGTTAGTTTTTAGTACAAAAGAAAGGAAATGGAAGGATAAATAGTAACCAAAATGTTTCCTCCCAAATTGGAAGGAAATGGGAAGAAAGTTTGGAGAAAGCTTGTTAATTTTTTTAAAATACCTATTTTGTCCTTAAAAAAAGGTTTTGAACAAATATTTAATGATTTTCATATCCAAAATCATTTCACTAATTCTTAAAACTCCCAAACAACATGACAATCTCTTCTCTTCTCCTCTTCTCTCATAACTTAAGCTTTCCCTTCTTTTCTTTTCTATCCTAAACTCCCAAACTAAGAAGTTTAGTGTCTTAGAGGCGCCAAAATAAGTTTAGTGTCTCAGAGATTACTACTTAAGCCCAAATGATTATAGTTAATTTTATCAGTCTGGTAAGAGGAGCAAGACACCGATGGTTATGGCGAAGTCCCCACCAGCACAACCACAACCGCCACTGCCACCCTCACCGGTGTCTGGATCACGAACATCAAACATCCTTGGTCCTAGTAATCCGCTTGGACCATTTAGATTTAAGCTTGAACATGCTTCAGCAGATATAAAGTTAGTGGATGGTTTCAACTGATACTCAAGTGTTGCCAGTTAATTAATTGTTAACTCTACATAAATTAATTTTAACAATCAACATTGCCGTTAATCATAGTGGTAAATGACTTTTTCTTTTTCAAATAAATTCGTCAAAAAAATGAAAAAAAAGTCATTGTTAAATTAATGATGGTTGATCATTGTATTGAACAGCCAATTGGGAAATTGCATGGTGGGGTATCAGAACTCATAGCTGCCGATTTAGGGAGCTTGGGAGCCTATCCTACTTTGATTGCAATTTTCTGGGGGTTTTTGTAAAAAATATATTATAATGATTTGATATATATGAGATAAAAATGTGATTAGAAAATGTGTTTATGCAAAACGTAAAAATTTTTCGATAGAAGATGGCTTTCCAAACTATGGGATTGTTTGGACAAGAAAATTTTTTAAAAAATAATTAATTTTTTTATTTGTATAATAAACATATTTTCTGATCATTTTTTATTTTTTATAATTACTTTTTTATTTCACATGCGTTACAACTAATTTTATTAGTCTCACTTTACCCCCTTCAGACATAAATATATGCAATTTACCCCATATGAAAACTAGTCGAAGAGTTAAAAGCACAATAAAAGTGAGTGCAATTACATCATTGTCTTTAGGAACGAGGCAATCTCACAAAATGACTTGGACTCGGAGGAACCTCAACCATGTGTTTTAAAATTCGGATCGGACCGGCCAATTCGATCAATCGAACCGGGAACCGGCCAAGTGTCCGGTCCGAATTATGCTAAAAAATCGGATAAGTAAAAATTCGGTAAAAAAAAATCGGATAAGTAAAAATCTGGTCAATAACCGGTTTTGAACGGAAAAAACCGGATTTTCCGGTTCAATCATCATTTAAAAAAAAAACTCAAACTTTTTCAATATTATGTTTTGACCCTTATATTGTTAAAAATTATTAATATACCTCAAATATTTCATACTTTATTTTCTTAAAGTTTGGTGTTATTTTTCAATTAAGTCCATAATTTTAATTCTAAACTTGTTAATGCTCATTAAATAATATAAATTGCTATTTGATTGTTCTAATTTCTTTGTATTTTCTTGTTAAATATATTTGAAATATAAAATATATATGAATATACCTTATTAATATTAACATGTTATTTGGTATTTTACATATAATATTTTAATTTTAAATAATTTTAATTTATGACGTCATCCGGTTCAACTCCTATTGAATTCGGTTGAACCCATTGACCAGTGATCCTTGACCCCTGAGTTTGACCGAGTCGATACCGGGTTCGGTCCTGAAAACATAGCCTCAACCTACAGAAGATTGTGGAGGAAGCAAGAGGTTCATACAAGAGCTAAAGCCATCCCCGCAAGAAAGTTTGCCAGAAGGAAGTGCTGCGCGACATTGGACAGGTAGAGCCTCCAACAGGTTGGAAGAAACTAATGACGTCGACGGGGCTGCGGCTGGGAATCCAAGGCTGCTGGGCAGGAGGATTCTCAGCAAACATTGGATTTAGCTACCAACACTGAAACAGAGCTGTGGGCATTAATTTATGGGATGGAATTTGCATGGAAGACAGGGGAAAGAAAACTAACAGTTGAATCAGACTCAAAAGTGAGCATACAACTATCAAAAGAAGCCTCCAAGGATAGCCCTCACCACAACCTGATCAGAAAGGCGCAAGAAGGATTGGGAATGCCAGCTGATGCACGTTTGGAGGGAAAGCAACTCCTGTGCGTGCAGATCATCTAGCTAAAAATGAGCCTAAATTTGCCTCCAGGATTATCGGAGTTCAAGAGCCCACCATTTTCAATTATGTTGTTGCTGTGTTTTGATATCAGAGGTGTAGCATCACCCCGTCTAGTTCCTATGTAATGGCCAATGGCCGTCCTAGAACCAAATAAAAGAAAATTACATTATTGCTTTTTTTTTGTTGAAATTATGTGTAACCTAATATTATTTCCTTTTCATTATTAAAAAGGATACATATTCTGTATCGTATGAGTTATACAACAATCTCTGAGAGTAGCTTAAAAAAATTTATATTTAGTATATCTTTTCAAAAAATTTTTTCCTGTTAGTTTAAATATTAACTTGTACTATGTGTTTTGTTCAGTTAATTACGTTTTAAGTCAAACAAAATGGATAAATGACACAATACTAAAAAGCAAATTTGATGACCAATTGGACTAAATTGATAGATGAAAATGACAATAATATTAGTCTAAAAGTTTAAATAAAGTAAAATAATTGAAAACTTTTAAACCAAAACCGAGCTTAGTATTAGTGTTTGGCCTTCTTCCTGAAATTCTGGCATTCCTTTTGACTATTTTATGAACTGGTCCCTGCCACTCTTGAGCCGTGTTTCTCTTGCTCACCGTCCTTGCAGTACGACTTACTTCTTTATTACTATGTCACCATTTTTGGGGTGTATTCTATTCACCTTTTCTTCTGGTTCCGGCATATTCCTGGCCAGGTGCCTTGGCAGATTTGACAGCGTCTTTCGTGTCCCTTTAGTTCTTGGACACGTAAATGTTTCCGACGGCTGGTTCCGGCACATTCCTTGCCAGGCGGCCCCCGGCAGATTTTGACAGCATCTTTCGTGTCCCTTTAGTCTTTGGACACGTAAACGCTTCCTACTAGGAACCGTCAAACGTGTTCCTACTATAAAAGCGATCGATTCAAACTGCTGCTATTTTCCTGAGCCCGTCATACTCCCCGGTTCTCGAAAAAGTGCCACCACCTCCCTCAACCACCGCCCTCCGTATCCCCCATCTGCAAATTTTTAGTTACTGGATTGGGATAGAGTCTGTTAATCTATGTCCCTAAAACAGTTGGATCAATCCCAAATGCCGGTGTCTACGGCTGACCTGGCTCCAAATGTTCCCCAAGAACTCATTATCGACGTACTCTTACGCCTCCCAGCAAAATCCGTCGGCAAATTCAGGAGCGTTTCGAAGTCATGGCGTTCTCTTCTCTCCGACCCCGTATTCATCAAAGCCCACCTCGATCTCCACCTCCATCATTCCCAAAAATTTATCCTCTCTTCTTCTCCTCCCACAGAAAAATCAACTTTGTCCACCCTATCTTTCAACCCCACTGGCAGCGCTGACAACGATGGCGTTTCAAAAAAGCTCACGCTTCTAGAGAACAAATTGACCGGCGCCACTATTATCGGTTCTTGCAATGGGTTGGTCATAGTTTCAAAATTCAAGAGGAGGAGTCCCGATACTAAGTACTATTTGATAAACCCCACAACCATGGAGCTCGTGGGAATACCCGCGAACCCTTTGGCTCCGTGGGCTCGTCGAGGTGGGATTGCTCTCGGTTATGATAGATCTAATGATGACTATAAAATCGTCATGTTTTTTGGGAGTGACAAGGTTAACAACGATGCTTATCTCGATGTTTTTAGTCTGAGGAGCGGAACTTGGAGGAGAATCGATGTTCTGTGTGATCGTCCTGCTGATGTTAAAGGGGTGTTTCTGAACGGTGCTGTACATTGGTTGGGGGAGTGTGATGGTTCACTGATTATGTCTTGCGATTTGAGTTCTGAGGAATTTAAGCCTCTGCCTGGGCCTTCTTCTCCTCCAGAAGATTCTTTTTTCGATCGTATTGCAGTTTTTGGTGGATGTCTAGCAGTGGTTGCCTTCACGGGTTATTCTACTAAAGTTTCGATGATGAATAGGGGTTTTTACATGGATGTTTGGATGATGAAGGAGTATGGTGTTCAAGAATCTTGGACCAAGTATAGACCTAATACGCACCCCAATACGTGTCTTTCTTTACCTGTTTGCCTATTGGGGGATGATGATCTTGTTCTGCATGTGCATCAGAGTTTGCACAAACTTGTTGTGCACAGTCTGACAGGAGAAACTAAGAGGGACATGTTGGTGACTGGCATTGGAAATGCGTTTAGGGATGTAAAGGGCTTTTGCGAAAGTGTTGTATTGCCTATTTTCTACTGTCAGAAATGGAACCAACATAAACTTGGGGTTTGACGGTTGGAAATCTATGCGTGGTTATATCTATGATAAAAGCCTATATTGAATTATGTGTTAATCTTATTTAGATAGTCATTAAATCTTAGTGGCTAGATGGTTGCCCATATGGATACCCAGTTTCCCTTTTGAAAATGTTTCAGTATTGATTTTTTCATACTTTTGTCGAAGTTACAATGATTTGACAAGTTTGTACTAGATGTGTTGTGTAATACTAGCTGATTGTATCATACCAAAGCACCGGAGACCAACATTTCACCCTGGAATTCTACTCTTTCTCTTGCAAACAACTGGTTTTGGGGCTTTCCCGTCTATATGTTTTACATTATAAAGAAAACACCCTGCCTGCGTAATTTCTACTCTTCATCTGTCTATCGTAACCAGCACTATCCACAACTTCTCCCCACCCCTACGTCTGATCCTGCCAGCAAGCCACTCTTGAAATTTTGGCATTCCTTTTGACTATTTATGGACAGGACCCTGCTACTGTGGAGTTTTCTCGTATTTCTTTTGCTCACCCTTATAATGCTACGACTTACCACCTGTTTGGTTGCTGCTAAGGAGTGGCAATGAGAATCACTATGAAAGGGACTTTTTGGATGCCTGAACTACATGAGAATCACTATGCGCACTCGTTCAGACTGAAACTTCGGAGCATATCATATAGGAATAACCGGGCTCAAAACTAGTTTGGGGAAACGTTGCTTCACATAGAACACGTCAAAGGGATTTTCCTATATTAAGGATGAGTAAAGGTTTCTTTAACTAATACCTTTCATGTCTATACCCTGTGGAGTAGTATTCAGCTTGCCAGGAATAATTTTATCTTCAGAAGCCAGCAATTTGATTCCACGAACATTCTGAGAATCGCAAGGTGGTGATACAACAATTGTAACTCATCACATGCCTCATTTTCAAAGTCGTGGTCGCGGTCACGGTCGCGGCCTGGAACGTTCCACATCGGTCTCGGCATATCGGTCGCGGTCTCGGTGAGACGCAAATTATAAAGTATTTAATATTTTAAAAATTATTAATAATATAAAAAAAGTATGCTAAACAAAAATAATAAAAAATAACAAAAGAAATGGCTGAGTCAATCCGTCACGGTGTAACTCGGCCAATTTCTCGTCTTGACTCGGGATAACTCGGAGTGATTCGGTGTGACTCGGCCGAGTCAATCCGTCGCGGTGACGTCTCGGCCGATTTCTCGGCGAGTCAAGTATCTCGGTATCGTTTCGTCACGGTATCGTATCGATAGGGGCCGAGACGGTGACGACTCGGCCGAGTCGTCTCGGTCTCGGCCGAGACTTCGAACCATGCATTATATCTCACTTTCCCTGCACATCAAAATTTTCACTTGTGTCCTCTCATGGGCCGGTTAACTTTAAATGTTGATGGTGCTTGTCTACCAAACCAGATGGCTGGTATTAGAAGAGCCCAAACAAGTTCGTGTGTTGAAGTCGAAAGAATTGGAAATGAAATTGCGCTCCTTGAACGGGATAACATGTAGTTTCACTGGATGGTGTACGAAGTGAGGTTGTTGGATTCCTTTTGTAGCTAGTGTCAAGTAAGCAAAGCTGAGTGCTAACACTTGCTGCTTGGCAGACAAAGTGGTAACTAAAAAGACTTAGCATGGAGAAACTGTTGCTGTTTCTTGTATAGTAACTTTGATCATGAATGTTCTCGAATCCATTGTCCTAAACTGTCCTGCTACTCGTATTTCTGCATGCTTTTTGGTCTCCCTCCATTTTGTTTTCCTGGAATTTTTTGCCGACTCTAGTTGCAGACAGGATCTGTTTTAATAGTTTGCCCTCTGCTGTGTCGTCTACGAGATTTGTTAGATAAAAGCTAATGGTTTAAATTAAGTGTTTTAGTGCCATTACGAGATTTGGTAGATAAAAGCTACTGGTTTGAATTAAGGCTTTTGGCAGTCTTTTGAAATTCATGTTGAACCGGCCGATTCAAACGGTCGAACTACGAACGGATCAGGACTCCAATCTGATTCATACTTTGGATTGATTGAATTTAAAAATCGATGAGAACCATGTGAACCGTTCGAATCAAAATGAACTGTTGAACCAGTATGTTTTTTTTGTTTTTTTCTATTAAATTGAAAAAAAAAAAAGAATAGGTTCTTATTAATTCCAAAGACTAGTTACTAAGTGCCTCACTCACTCACTTTCTTCTCATCTTTTACTTCTTATCAAGTTTTCATATCTACTTTCTAGTTTCTTGACTTCATCCAGATTCCAAGTTTCTCTTTTTTTTTTTTAACAAAGTTGCAATATTTAATTCCCAAATACATGGTTTAAAGTTTAAACTCACAATATCTAATTCCTAAATATATGAATTTTGTTTAATTTCAGAATATTGTAGTATTTTTGGGTAGGATTTAAAATTATATTTTGATAGGTACAATTGAGATTAAATTTATATGTTTGTACTTACGAGATTTGGTAAATAAAAGCTACTGGTTTATATTAAGTCCTTTAGTGCCATGTACCATGCAATTGTATTCTGAAGGTGCATACTTTGAACCAAGTTCAATTTCAGCAAACATTCCTTTTTCCTTAATTGAATATGATAAAAATACTGCTATAAATAACATGGAGCAAAATGGCAAGAAGCGCTATCATTTTTGCGCATTTTTTCTTTCTTCAACTTGATTGCCCTGCTCTGCATTGAGATTCAGGGCTACACCTTATGTTAGTGTAACACGAGAGGCTCTAGATATATGAGATATCATTCATATTCAAGTTTGGAATCCTTTTTTTTTTTTTCAAAACATGAGCTATATATCTTGACTTGAAGTTGAAAATATTGTTTTAAAAACAATATTTGCATACTTATGATCAATTTTTTCAATAATTTATCCAGTCATCTGATTAAAGGTAGAAAGAAGATTTGATTAGGCATTTCAATGATCATACAACATATAATTTTTCTTCCTTTTCACAAAATTCAGGGTCTCTCCACTTAAATTAATTACATGCATGATAAATATTGGACAGAAAAAATATTAATATGCCACTTTATTTTATCCTAAAGATAAAAAAAATTATTGTATGGTAAAAATCATGTCTTGTAACTTGAACATCCAAAAATCTTAAGGTCTTTCCTTCTAAATCATGTAAAAGGGCATGTAAAAGGGCATTTTCATCAACTCAACTATTTTCACAATTAACTTGATGGGTTAGACTGAAATGGAAGGTAAAGTGAGAAGAAATAAACTTTAGATGTAAGCTACAACATTGACTATATTCTTAAAAAAAAAAAAAAAAGACTTTGACCAAATTCTAAGGGGAGTTTTTGTGCTTAACCCTTCTTTTTATAATGTTCTTTTCATTCCAGTAATTCACAAAAAAATAAATAAAAATTTCTTTATAAGCAAAATTATGCTTGGCTTTTTCGTGAAGTATATACATTTCCTTCAAGGCAATGCATGTTATGTAATCACGAAGAATTCAGAGGAAGTGCCAAACCAGTATACATTTCCTTCAAGGCAGTACATGTTATGTAATCACAAAAAATTATTATAAATGCCTTTCATAATAAATAGACTGCACTTGTTGAAATTTTCAGAAATTTTCCCTTCAGTAGTTTTTTTCCCCTTGAACATTTATCCCAAATAACTTTCGTTGAACAGCTTGTTATTTGCTTTTCGCATGTTTAAGGTTGTGTTTAGATTGCATTTTCCATGATTTTTCATGAAAAAATTACTGTAGCGATTTGATGTATGTGAGGGAAAAAGGTAATAGGGAAATGTGATCACGAAAAACGACGTAAATTTGTTTTCTTTCTTTTACTTCTTGTGTATGGTGAGTAGATATAGAAAGCAATCAATCCTCAATTTCAGATGGACCAACACTTTTTATATGGGATGAATTCCTTGATTTATTTGTTACATTCGTTCTTTTCTTCTCTTTTAGTACCGGAACAGAGGCTTTTGTTTCCTTATTCCCCTTTTCTGTTTGGACAGAATGGGAAAAATTATTATCAATCAAGAGTTTAAAAATTTCCAAATCCCAAGGGTTTACTATCAGGAATGTAAATTGATAGAGACACAGATCCTTTAAGACATAGGTGTAAAACATAAATAACAAAAAAACTTTGCACGTTCATGTACATAACTTTTTGGTCGTATATGTAATTGGCCCGTCTTATATCCCTATACCAATTAGATATGGAAAAACATCACAGAACTCCCACCATTTTAACAAGTCAATCAAAAACTTCTATACACAACTTTTCCTTTTTTTTTTTTGGGTTTTTGTGTCAATTTTTTCTTTGCTAAAAAGAAAATCCTAAAATTAGTAGTATCAAATTTAATTGGCCCCACGGTTGATCATTTCCATGTACTGGTTCAACGACTCCTGCCTCTGCAGCCTCATTTCTTCATTGAATTTCTTGATGAATGCTTCGACTCGGCGGTTCAACTCGTCCTGACCCGGCGAGTCAAATATTCTGAGGTTAGGGACACTGGACACCAGGTCCGCATCAAGCCCACTGATGAAATATTCTGGCATGTCCACAAGCTCAAGCGTATCAAGAGTAGATATGTGCTTCAGCTCTTCCGGCAACTTCCGTAATCTGTTGCAGTTCCTGATTCTCAGGCACTGGAGCTGTGGCAATGCACCTTCCCCCACCTTTATTTCCTCCAAATCATGTAGGCGGCTGAGCTCAAGGAATTTCAATTGCTGAAACCCATGCCTAGAAATGACCATATGCCGTGTTCCCCCATATGTAGATTCCAGTTTGAGGAACGACAGCTGTCCCAACTTCTCTAGCACTGGCATTGGGTCATCCGTGAGATACGTGGAACTCAAAGACAAGCGAGAGAGATTTGGAGGGAAATCAGGAGACAGCAAATCCAGCCTGGATAGCTTAAGATCTGTTACATGATGGAGCTTAGAAAGTCCAGCTAGAGATTGTGGCAACACGCTTTCTATAGTACGGTAAAGACTTAGCGTCTTTAGGCTTCCAACCTCAGATAAATGCATGCAGAGTTTGTCTATCTCTGACCTGCCATCCACTACAATCCCCAGTTTCTGAAGACTTGTCAAAGTTATCATGTCATTGTGCATAACGTCCTCAAAGCGTATGCCTGACAGAGTCTGGAGATTCCTCAATCCTTCAATCTTAAGAGGCACATCACATTCCAATTTATACGCATATAGATGCCGTAAACTTTCAAGCTTCCAAATGAAATTTGAAACTTTCACTGTCCTATCAAAGCCCCGTATGTCAAGAGTTTGTAGGTATCGCAAGCAACCGACGGAATGAGGGAGCCTTCTAATGTGTGTGTCTCTTAAATTGAGGTACCTTAGAAGCCTGACTTCACCAATTCCTTTTGGCAAATTATAACCCATCCCAGCATTCTCAAGGTCTAGTATCCTGAGCTTTTTGAAACTTTTGAAGCTAAGACTAAAGTTTTTCCCGAAACTGCGGATATTGAAAACAAGTAGAGACCGGAGAGGAGGGGTCGAAGACCCAAAATAATTTTCATCCAGAGGGAGACTATGAACAGCAAGGTACCTGGATTTGGCTGATATTTGATCATCTCTAGTGCCATGGATCTGAAAAAAAATTTCATCCTCTGCCTTTCTGATTGCAAGCTCTCGCAGTAAATCATGGACTCTGCAGCTTTTAATCCTCTTATCAACCGTCATTTCCGCCACTTGGACAATATTTCTGCTACAAAGTCGCTCCACATCTTCATATGCTGCAGTTTCCTCCAGATTTTTTGCATCTCTTTTCTGCATTATTCCCTCAGCAACCCACAGATGGATCAACTTGCGCACAGAAATCACGGAGTCTTCGGGAAACAAACCCAAATACAAAAAGCGAAATTTCAGATTGGCAGGGAGGTCTGCATAACTTAATTCCAGAATTGCCCTTGCTTCACTAATTTTCCCTGCTTCGCTCCGGCTCCATGATAGGTGTGCGCTAAAGTTGTTGAGAACTTCCTCCCATTCGGTCTTCGACTTATTCTTGCCTAGTAGCAAGCCACCTATAACCGTTATGGCCAGTGGTAGACCGGCACATCGCCCCACAATTTTCCTGCCTACTTCTTCCAAATCTGGAGGACACCCAGCATTAGCTCCGTGGCCTAAGGCCTTTTTGAGGAACAAATGCCAGCTATCCTCTTCCCCCAAAGTTTTCAGCTCATGTGGTTTGCTAAGAGCATCTGCGTGTACGGCAACTTCCTGATTGCGAGTTGTAAGCAGCAATCTACTTGATGTGCCAACATCGGGAAAGGCCCTCCTGGATAGACAATCCCACGCTACTTCCTTCCATACATCATCAAGTACCACAAGACAACATTTGTTTTGTAGATCTTGATAGAGCCTTCCTTCCAACTCTTCCTCTTCCATCTTTTCCAACATTTCAGATAGCTTGTCATCCTTTGGATTTAATTGCTTTATGATTGATCTCAGTATCTTTTTGTGATCATAGCTTGAAGAGACGCATACCCAAGCACGACAGTTGAATCTCTCCCTGACATCAGCATGGTTATAGACCTTTTTGGCTAGAGTTGTCTTACCAGCACCTCCCATGCCGACGATTGAAACCACACGGCTGCTTTTGTCCTCTTTCAAAAGTTCTGCCACCAGCGATTTTGTTTTCTCCTCGAAGCCCACTATATCCCTGTCCTCGTTGAAAGGAGAGGACCGTCGGAGCCGTCGAAGCTCTTCTCCATGTGTACTCGTTCCCTCTCCAAGATTTTTGATATCGTATTTTTCACGGCTATCAGCTATGTCATTGATCCTCATCTGTAAGGACTCAATCTCTTTACCAATCTTGAAGAGGTTCACAATTTTCAAGGGATAATACGTCAATTTGGTGACGAGTCCCTTGTTCTTTGTGAAGAACTCAACTTTGCTGGCAAAGATCTCAATGATATCCTCCGCATCGTACGCCGCAGCTCTGATTTCAGAAACCCAGTTGCGGATCCTCTCATCTTCATCTTGCCTCTGATCTGCATCTTTCAGGAAACACCGCATCCGGACCAGATCATTTTGGAGTCTTTCAACTTGTTGTCGAACATCTTTCAGGAAAACAATTTTTTGAATCAGCAGATCGCCAGTTCTCTCAATTACAAAAGAGATAACAGGGTCAGCCATATTGGTTAAGCCGGAAGCGAGCTTTGCTTTCAACAAGCTGTTGTTTTAACTGATCTCAGAAGAGAGGTAGGATTCTCGTGGTTCATTTTCTCTTCCAGTTTTATCCTTAATTCTTCATTGACTTGTCCAAGAGCAATTATTTTAGTAAAAAACAAAGCAGTTCGATTCACATGGTGGAATGGAAGGCGGAATTGTTTTGATACGCGGATTTGATAAGCAGTTTCCACTTACAGGTCCGCGGTTTTGCATACTATAGTAAAGTCTTGGTAGGCCATAACCGGCCAAGACACTTTTATAGGTGGAAAAAGAACAAAATAGTACGTCTCTTCCCAAGTCAATTTTCCGTCATTTACCTCTGCTTTCTCTTTTTGGAGCAGAATGGAAAACTGACCTCATTAATACCCCACACTAATATTGGCGAAATATATGGCTTGTAGTTGTCGCGCCCCACTTTGTCTGAGTTTTGGAAAAACTTGAGACAAAGAAGTAGACACCAAATACTTACCTGTGTTATTGGGCTGCAAAAGATTCCAACGAACAGAAATTCTAATACGGGACTGACCCGAACAGAAATTTAAAATTGGGATAGACCCACGGGATAGACCCGGACAGAAATGTAAAATTGGACGAATTGAAGTGAGATAGAGTGTTGGTGGGATGGAAACACGCACATTAGTGAGATAGGCTCGATGCTAATGGCGGTAGGATGAAAACGCGCACGTTAGTGAGATAGACTCGATGCTAACGGCGGTATAATGAAACACGCACGTTAGTGAGATAGACTCGATGCTAACGGCGGTAGGATGAAAACACGCACATTAGTGAGATAGACTCGATGCTAACGGCGGTAGAATGAAAACACGCACGTTAGTGAGATAGACTCGATGCTAACGGCGGTTGAAGTAAAACACGCACATTAGTGAGATAGACTCGATGCTAACGGCGGTTGAATAAAACACGCACGTTAGTGAGATAGACTCGATGCTAACGGTTGCGGTAACGGCGGTAGAATGAAAACACGCACGTTAGTGAGATAGACTCGATGCTAACGGCGGTTGAAGTAAACACGCACATTAGTGAGATAGACTCGATGCTAACGGCGGTTGAAATGAAAACACGCACGTTAGTGAGATAGACTCGATACTAACGGCGGTTGAAGTAAACACGCACATTAGTGAGATAGACTCGATGCTAACGGCGGTTGAAATGAAAACACGCACGTTAGTGAGATAGACTCGATGCTAACGGCGGTAGAATCAAATATAGTTGTCAAGAGTAGGGAATGGAAGGGTGCGCGGCGGGCATTGAAGCTTCGCCCACAAGAAATCAATTTTGATTTTTTTCAAGAAACAAGAATTTGAACTTGATGTTTGACTTTTTGAATTTTTCTGATTTTTCGAGAGAATCTTTTTCCAAAAATAATTTGCCCCAGTGTATGGCCCTTTTCCCTTCTTTCTTCTCTTTCTTCGGCATCGGCCTTCTACATCGCCAGATGCTTTTCGTCGACTTCAACTATGAATACCTGCACAGGGCTTACGTGCACTCAAATGAGCGTGACTGATTTGAAAAATGCATTATTTTGATTCTTGGACGAAATCCTCAATTGGACTACAAAAATATTTGCCCCTGTGTGGGCTTATTTTGCAAAATTTTGCAAATAAAAATTTTGCCCCAGTTTGGGCCCATTTGATTGCAAAAATTGGTTTAGATGATTTCCCATTTACTTGAACAAAGAAAAACCGCACTTTCTAAAATTTAGAAAAGAGTGCACATACAACAATGTGAAGAAACTTTAATCGTCAAGTTTGAACTCATGCAGAAATTTCATGATGAATTCCTCGAAATAACACCAAATTTAAGAAGAAGATTTCTTCCTTACTTTTAGCATTGGTGCTTAGGGTAACGGGTCACCACTTCTGGTTGACTCATCTTTTCAGGACCAATCAAGTGACTTTATTTTTGAAATGGCTAAGGAAATGGGAGATAAGAATCTGTCTCATTTTTGTGCCCCAGTTGTATGTAATCCATTCAATGTCACATCTTAGTGAAAGCAAAGAGTTTGTTACCCTTATTTTCAAGAAAACTTAGTCAACATACAAGCTTTCTAGGCTTGTAACGTATGGACAGAAGTGATAGCTAAACATGTGGAAACGGGTTATGCCCCTATGATCACAAATGATTTGATGAATTTCTTATGAGCATGATCCTCACTTTGGATTGTCATGAAAGAATAAGTCAACGATGGACTTTATTAGCTTGTAATTTGGCTTGAAAACGATACTAAAGAAGCAATTTTCAAAGGACATTGCACTGAAGATCGCATTTTTCAACATTGCCCCTATTTTGAAATCAAAAGATCTCAGACTTTGTTTGCATTTTTCTTATCACTCACCAGAGACTTCAGCGTCGAATTTTCTGCATTTTCTTGCATTTACTTTTCTTGCTTTGCTTTTTGCCTCTTTTCCAAAAAGACCCTCGCGGGATTTCACATGGTGAGTAGCGTCAACCTCATACTCAAGCAATTCAGAAATACAGCTAAAATTTTCCGGCATCAGAAATTTTCTTGACAGGGCCATTGCAAAGAACAGGAGTCAGGACTTTCGGCTTTGTAATGGGGTCAGGTGGGGTGCTTTAGAAAAGTTAAGGCTTGAAAACGGATTTCAAAACTGGTTTGAAAAATCTGAGATCGCATTGTTGCGTCAACCCTATTTTAGGGTTAAATCAGAATTTGCCCCAGTTTATGCTCAACTGAGGCTTTTCACTTTCATTTCCTTTTTCCTTTTGACTTTTCGGCCTTTTGCCATTCTTTTGAACTTTCACAAAATTTGCCCCAGTTTATTTTGAACTGAGGTTCTCTTTTCTTCTTTTGTTTTTGATCTTGTTGCTTTTCACTTTTTTGAAATTTTCTTTTCAACTCAAACTCGCCCCCAGTGTGGGGTTTGCGATTCTCAGGGGTTGCCAAACGAAATAATTTATTCTGATGGCTCAAAAGGGATAACTAGGGATAAAGTGTTCGATTGGAAAAGAAGATAGCCTGACTTGTATTCTGTTCCTTACAACAACTCTGAAAGGAAACTTTCGTTAATGCGAAATTTTTGCGTGTATCTGAATTAATTGACTGAGGAAGACCCTTACTCATCCATATTTGTGAAACATAGGCGATTCACATGGACAAAAACCCTTCCTTTTCTTTTTTCAAACTTGGAACCCAAGTGGAATCAAATTTCCCCAATTTGCAGTTCCCTCCTTATTCTAGCATTTTTGCTTTTTCCCTTTTTCCCTTTTTCCTTTTTTGTTTTTTTTTTTTTGAAAATTCTCCAATCTCCCTCCCCAATGTGGGGTACGACCATGAGTGCATTAGAAAAGAACCACCAATTTTAGCTCAAAATGGGGATGCAAGGGGTGATCAGTGTTTAGGTTGTAGAAACGACGGCCAAAGCATCATTCTTACACCTCATGACAACCAAAGTAACGAAACGGTTATTGAAAATCCATTCCCCTATTTGATATTTGAAAATTTTCCAATATAGGGTAGTGATCATTAGGGCTCTTATCTGAAACGAAATTATTCTTTTCATAGGCTCAAATGGGAGAGCAAGTGATAAAAATCTGTATAGATAGTGAAACAAATGCTCAAAGTAAATTTTCAAAACAAACAAGAATAATGCACATTTTTGCTTTCACTTAGATGTGAATTGAATCGATTAAACACAATGGATATTTTCAAGCAAAGATGGCCCCAATTTGCAATTTATCAATCAATGTGACTGATTTTATTTTGGGGTTCAGTGAAGGAGAAAAGATATCTCATTGGGCCTTCTGAATGACCTCTTTTAATTCTGAACACTCTTATTGTGAATTTTCAGGTCGGAGGTTGAAAAAATCCCAATTTAGTCTTATTTCTTAAAATTCATCATGCAATCTCCAATGAATAAGAATAAAGAATGAAATGTACATAAATATACACAAAACAATGATTGTCCAAAAAATTTATTGCTGAAAAAGTTTGAAACAAAATTTCTCATTCAATTACGATACAAATGAGAAGAGAGAAAATTGTAAAGAGCTCCACATATACACTTTTTGTCTCCTTTTTCAAATATACAAAATTTTCCTTTGGAAAACAATTACAACATTTCTCAGAGGGTTTTCATCGTAGGACCCGCCCAAGAATCAAATAACACTTGTAATCTTCAAACTTCATTGGATTAAAATTATCATCAGATATAGAAGAATATTTCCGTCTTATTGAAATATTTTTATGAATGCAAGGGAGGGGGGAAACAAAAGAAAAATACCCCGAGTTAGTAGACAAAACTGCAAAATCGGTATGCATGTCCTATGGGGGGAACCCTTTTTATGCCAAAGGTAGGCCTAGCATGAAAATGCAATCCTCTAAGGTAGGCACCATACCATACCTGATGGATCTGATCAACTCATTGAGTGAGAAATAATTTTGACAAATTTGGTCAATTAGAGTGAGAAGAGACGTTTGTCAAAATGAGGACATCGTCCAAAGGGATTGATCACTTTTGATCGATACAAGAATTTGCAAAAACGCACAGGTTTGACCTTGACGAACTTCCTATCGAAGAGATTGGAATTCGTTGACCAAATTTTTTCAGTGAAGCACGGGTCAAAACCCCAACTGATCAAATGGCTGGATGCAATAGATGGTTTTCTCAAAAATCGACTAAGTTTCCCAACTTGAAATTGACATTGAAACCCTAATTGGTCAGATGAAATTGACAATTTATTAAAAATCGACCGGATTACCCTAAAAAGGGAAACAGGTCAAATGAATTGAATGAAATTTAATTTATCAAATCACCCTAAAAAAGGGTAAATTGATCAAAATAGATTGAACGAAACTTGATTTATTCAAAATCGGCTCGGCTGCCCTAAAAATGGGTAAAATGGCCAAATGAATGAAATTGGATTAGTGATTTATTCAAAAATCGGCCGAATGACCCTAAAAAGGGTAAATCGGTCAAATGATTTGATGATTTATTCAAAAATCGACCGGATGACCCAAAAAAGGGTAAATCGGTCAAATGAATGAAATTGAATGAATTGACAAAATGGATTGGTTGAATTGTCCGGCCATTGGTTATTTCAAAATTATTGAGGTGCATTAGTCTATGACCTTCTAAAAATCAAATTTTGGCCTCAATTTATTTATCGTCTCAATAGGAGGAATCACTTGTGAATTTCTTCAAATTAATGTCCTTCACGCAAGGGAATTTTACCAATTAGGTTTAAAAATGGTCCAAAAAGTGATTATCAGACGCTCATATTCCAAAAGATCACTCTATGAACATGATCGGATCCTACCTTACCTTGTGCACTACCCCTTTGGATGGTACGAGAAAGGTAAACGTGCAAGTCTCATTTGGATTATATATCCGAGACATGGGGTGGTTTATTCCTAACACGGGATCCCCTAAATGGCATTCCCTTTCTAGGGTTTATGCATGATGCCATTTATTAAAGCAATGTAAATATGCAACAAATATGGCCTAGAGGACAAAATAATGCAACGGGGGGAAAGGGTCTAAACATGAAATGTATTTACTGAAAGATAAGTGCAAAGACTGAAATTTAGACATGTGAGCTATCTAATGGGTGAGTCACTAAAAGAGTGCCAAAGAGGCCCCTTATTGCTAAGGCACATGTATGCAAGCCAAGAAAACAAAAGAATGGTTAGTGCAATTGATAGTACACATAACACATTGGGAGCAATTAAGAAGAAGAAATACAATAAAGCAAGTAAAAGGGGTAGAACCCCTTCCCTCGTGCCTATTGTGCTTAAAATAGGGTGAGGCCGACTCTACCTTAGGTCATTCTAATATGGATGCATGAGGCTGGGGTTCACTAATGCCTAGACTCGATAAAGCTTCGGCTCCCAAGCCTTCAGACCTAAAGGCGAAGGGTCATCACTCCCAGGGCCTTTGGTCGGTGGCTCGAGTGATCCCTTAGGTAGCGCTATGGGCGCAGAGCACACCATCCGCCTACCCAAGGCAATCGGTCCTAGTCCTACAAGGCGGTGTGGGATGGCGCCCACGAAAAATAAAATAAAATGGGATAAAGCAAGTAAACGTGCACGTATGAAGTGCTCCCCTATTTTGAGGGAAGGGGTGAGAACCACGCGAGGCTCTAAAGGTGACACACCCCCCCAAATGCAATGCAAGCGCGAGATAAACAAGTAAACATCATCCAATCAACCAATCACACATACGTGAGTGAGGGAAAAGTGTGATACGCGCGCGAGGTGAAAAAGTCCTATATAAAAATGCAACCCTAATATCCAAATGCAATGCATAAAAAGGGTAGAAAAAGGAAACGAATGGCTAAATCAAATGCTCGGACCCACTTAGGAAGTCCCCAGTGGAGTCGCCAACTGTCGCGCCCCACTTTTCGATTGATGTGAATGTGAGTGATGAAGTGTGGTGTGAATGTGTGCAAAATGAAAAGTAAAAAGGCCATGGGACTTTGGAAAGCGACGATTTGGCCAAATGAAATTTTAAAAAGGGTTTTTAAATATGAAAACGGAGTCGCCACTTGGTATAGATTTGGGGTGTACCAAGTCACCCAAAAAGTGTTTTTTAAAGACAAAGTAGTAAAACCCTTTTTAAAACGACTCCTAGTCCACGTAAGCCAAAGAAAAAGGTTCGGGGGTCACGTTTGACAAAGGGGAAGGCAAGGATAGAATCCAAGGCACCCCTTTGACCTAGCCAAGGCTAGTTGCGCGACTTAACCTTACCTTTCCTAATTTTCTACCCAATATATGTTCGCACGTTGGATATGACTATATGAATGCAAAAACCTAGACCTAGGGGGATCGGGGGAAATTTCTCTTCAAAGGTTGAGTGGTGCCAATCACATTAATTGTGAAGCCCAATAATGATCCTTTTGGAGAGGTCACACCTAAACCTAAATGACGTGAAAAATGAGTGGAGTGCATGCCATGTGAAAGTGTGAGTTTGTGTGAAGTGAGAAAAATGATAAAAGTAATAAGACAAGAGTGAAGGTGTGCAAATGTAGATGAAAGTACTCGTGTGCGAGTGAAGATAAAATGCTCGTGTGCAAGTGAAGATAAAAGGGTGTTCGTGTGCAAGTGAAGGTGATAAAAAGGTGCATGTGTGCAAATGAGACAAAAGTGAAAGTGTAATGATAGAGTGGATTGAGAATGCATGAGCCTAGGGAATTCATGCATATTGGGTACGGGGAGACCTAAATCGTGACTTGATTTTCCCTTTGATTAGAAGGCGAAACTAGCGTGCTAAGGCTATCGAGTAGCCACACTCGCTCGTTTCCCTTATCGGAAGGGGACACTCAAGCGAAATGAACCCTATAGCTATCATGATATGCAAAAGTCCTAAAATGAAGGGAAAGGGGGTTCGAGGAGCATGCCAAGTGATAAAACTAAGAAAAATGCATGATATGTGGTGAACAAGCAAATGATATGCTAATGAGGGGAAATCCCTAAGGGTCTAGCGTTGGACTAGCCCATTCTATGAATTCCGACTAGCGTTGGACTAGCGGAAACGTACATTCATCCATTCCATTCATTCATGGCTATGAAAGCAAGTAGACATGCCAAAACACTCGTAAACACGTAACATGTAACACTTAGCATGCTCGACTAGATGCAAGATCCTAATAAAGCAATTAAACATGTAGCAACAAAAACAAGCAACCAAGGGGAAGGGGAAATGGACCAGATGCTCTCCGAGCGCTATCTATTACAAGCCAAGAGGTGTACACATACCCCATAAAAGCATAAAGGGGAAAGGGAAATGGACCAGATGCTCTTCGAGCCCTATCTATTACAAGCCAAGAGGTGTACACATACCCCATAAAAGCATAAAGGGGAAAGGGAAATGGACCAGATGCTCTTCGAGCCCTATCTATTACAAGCCAAGAGGTGTACACATACCCCATAAAAACTTAAATAAAAGTAAAAAGCAAGTAAATGCACGCAGGGAGGTAAGGAAAGCGAAGTAGACAGGCATATTCACATAACACATAGGAGCACGTAGGAAAAATAAAGTGCGAGTGAGGGATAGAGTGTACCTCCCTTGCAATCGGGGCCCAATGAAGTGAAATCACTTATTTATCCTCCAAAATAAAAGAAATGGTCAAGGTACCAATTTATTTAGGAAAATTAAAGGAAATAGGCAAACACAAGCTCACTTGGTCATAAAGCCCCTAAAATCATGAATTAAGTGCAATTGAAACAAAGCATAGTGATTAATTAAAACAAACAAGCAATGAAATTGTAAAATTAGAATTGCCAAGGACCAAATTGATGAAGTTATTCAATTGGTTGGGTCATAGTGGCATAGGGGAAAACTTGAGGGATCAAGGTGCTAAATCTGACAATTATTTTTCATGCAATCCCATGCAAACCTACGAAACTCATGTTCTGCAATTTTCCAGCAATCATTCTTTCAGCAATCTTTCATTTAGCCTAGATGCATTTGTACAAAGCAAACCACCGAATTCAATGACTCAACTTGAATGCAACAACTTAGAGGAAGGTTATGCACAATCTGGAAAAACTTTCATGCAAGGCCCATGAGGAAACTAAGATTTTCTGCAAGTTGCTAGTCGATGTTGCTGCTGCAACTTTTCGGCCAAACAATTTTGCTGCAACTCATTCGGGAGTCTTTGCAACTCCAAGGAATTTTCGGCAAAAACAAGATTCATGCAGAGCTTTCAACCATTTCCAACTAAACATAGCTAAAACAAAGAGTTTCTTGGAAGATTTTTCATGCAAAGTGTACAACTTAGGAAGAAAAAATGAGCTTTCTGCAATCTGGAAAAAAAAAACAAAAGGAAACCTGCTGCAGCTCTATGTTTACAAATGCCTATTTCTTAATCCCAACTTGGGTTACACATTTTCAAAACCAAACCTGCAACTTCAGGCTAAGCAAAACATATAATCACCACCATCAAAACAAACTGAAGACTTAGGAAATGATCATGCAAAAAATTCTGGAAAATATACAAGAAAAATTCGGCAATTCGGTCATTCATTTTTCCAGCAAAGGATTGGAACATGCTTCGAATATTTCAGCCCCCAAAAAATGCAAACTCAACACCTCTTTCCAACATAAGATCAACCAGCAAATTGGATGGCTCAAGCAATCTTCATATAAAGCTTGTAAAGCAATTCTGCAACAATAAGACATTTTCAGCAGCCTGCCGAAACTTTGGAAATTTCAGCAACCGAAAGTGCAGGCCTGCTGCATTTTTTTACTTCCAAACTCGGACTTCACATTCCAAATACACAAAGTTTGATCAAGACCTTTTAAACTAAGCATCACATAAATCCATGTATGGTCATTCAAACTCCAAGGATTCCCACGGAAAGAACTTCGTCCAAGAAAAATAAGAAAGAAAAAGTGCAGCCGAGGAGCTTTATCATCTACTTGCACTGGCCAATTAAAGTATTCATCACAGAACATTTCACTCTTCAAACAAACACTGAAATCACCATTCATCACTGATCAAACCTGGTTTGTCTAACCTTAGCAGACTCGGCAGAAAGCATCCGGGTGAAGAAAACAAAAATGACAAAAACTAAGGATGGCAATCTTGAAACTTTGCAATTCTGGAAAAAAATACTTTGCAACTGAGACATCATTCAAACCATTTCCAATCTTTGTGAGCTTACCATCGAAACCCAGTTTTCAAAACATAGAACACAAACGAGAACTAAAACAAAGAGAGAAGAAAAGAATAAATTTGTAACTCCAGGTTCATTCACAGGTTTCTGGGTTCTTTTCATCACAACATCTCTGGTTCATAGTCTAAGCAAAAACCCTGGCCCTAAATCTATTCATGCTGAAAAATCAAAGTTGAAAACTTTTCTGCAATTTATCGCTAATGCCTGCCATTTCCGTAGCATATCATCCTCACAAAACGAATCCCAACAAAACAAAACCCTATATTCATGTATCAATAAGACACAAATGAAAGTGAACCAGACTTAAAAAATCATGACTAAAAGAAACCGTAAACAGAAACGGTGGACTTGAAAGAAACACAAAGAACTGAAATGGTAAATCGATGACCGAAAGGAAAAGAGAGAGGACCTGATCCAGAAAAGCTTGAGGTTCTCAGTGACTTTCTTCCTCTCGGCTTCCTCTCTTGTACGAAGCTTGATTGAAAAAAAATGGAGTCTTTATTCTCCTTCTCGCCGTCAAGCTCAGTTTCTTTACCTCAGCCCCAGCTCCCTCCTTTCTACTGTGTTTTTTCTTTTGCTTTCAGTTTTTCCCGGACCTTCCCTTCCTCTCAAAACTCTCTCTAGTTTTAGCCGTCAACTTCCTCTCCAAACTCTCTCGCTCCAGTATTTTCCTTTCCAGATTGCGGCCGTCATTTTTGCTCTCCAACCCTCCACTCTTGCCTGGTGTTTTCCTTTTGCTCTCGGCTGTCCTCTCTAATTCCGTCCAGCTCTCGGTTTCTTTTGCTCAGCCTCTCAGTCCTTAACCCCTGAAAACTCCCTGGTTTCCCTTTCTTCAAAGCTCTAACCTTTTGCACAGCTCTCTGTTGTTTCTCCTCCTCTTGCTCTCGGCTCTCCCTTTCAGTTGTTTTCAGTTCTTCCTCCAACCCCAACCGTATGCTCCCTCTGTTTCGTCTAGCCTCTTTGTTCAGCTTTTCTTTCCGCCATCCCCCCTCCTCCTTTTTGCGGCTGTCTTGCCTTTTCCATTTATACCAGCATCTCCAACCCTAAACACTCCCAGCCATCTTCTGTATTTGCAGCCCAAGGAGCCGTCCCAAACTTTCCTTGCAAGCTGCTACAAATGCAGCTTGCCGCGGCTATCATTTTTTTTTTTTTTTTTTTTGTTTTTAAAATGATTAAAACAATATTGATAAAAAATATAAATGTAAATAATAATAATAACAAAAATACCAGAATTGAACACAATTTAAAATAACTAAATAAAGTGGCCATTTTCAATTTTTTCACATTTTTCTTTTTCCTTTTCCATTGTTTTTTCTTTTCTTTTCCCTAAATAAACCAAACAAAAATAAAAGATAAATTAAGTAGAAATGACTAAAATAGATAAACAAAACAAAGTTACTATTTTTCCCTTTTCCTTTTTCCCTTTTTCATTCATTTTTCCTTTTTTCCATTTTTCCATGATTTTCCACGCTAAAACTCAAAAAACAAAAACTAAAAGACTAAAAGGTAAATAAAACTAAAAATAAAAATAAAATAAAATAACATCTAAAGGGGCAAAACAAAAATGCAAACCATTTAAAACAAAAATCATGAGATAAACAAAAATCAATAGACAAGACTTATCACTAAAACGAAGCATATAAATCAATTCAAAATTTGGTGTCTACAGTAGTGTCTTAGTGACAATAATGTAATATCTCACAAAATCCCTTTGCAGTACATTGGCATAAAATATGCCACGTAACCACGACACCTCAACATACACAATTAACTATATATTAGCACGGATAATAAATCCCTTACCTTTTGGCCAAAAATATTTTTTTATTTCTAACTTTTAAAATGCGGCAAATTAGTTTCTCACATTTTAAAAACGAAGCAAATTAATCCCAGATTGACAATTTAATATAGATTTTAGATATAAAATTGGAAGGTCACTACAAAAAGACATTAAGTCACTGTAAAAAGGAAAAAAATTAAAAATTATAACATACTACCCGGAAAAAGTTAAAATTTTTTGAGACAATCACATTGGTCAACATAAAAAGGAAAAAACCCCCTAAGTTACAAAATTTTATAATTCAAAAATTGTTTAAACTTTTTTGAGTGAAGGGTTTGTTTTTGATGTTATAACTTTTAAATTTTTCTTCTTTTTTAGAGAGAATGGTTTGGTTTTGATGTTGTATTAATTTTTTCTTTTGATGTTAATTTAATATCACTTTTTGAAAAAAAAAATTATTTTTTAAGAGAGAAGGTTTTTTTATGTTGTAATTTTAAACTTTTTCCTTTTTCTATTGACTTAATATCGTATACATATCATATATAGTTAGATTTGATTAAAGTTAAACTGATGTTTCAATTTTACTCTTGAAATCTATATCAGGATATCATTCTGGGATTAATTTGCTTCATTTTTAAAATGTGAGGGACTAATTTATTTTATTTTAAAAATAAAGAAAAAAAGTTTTGTTTCCTAAAATGTAAGGGATGAAGCATATCTTTTCTTTTTTTTTTTTGGTGAGAAATCTTTTTACCCAGGAGAGGGATACTGCCCTAATCTATAAGGTTTACTGTCTGTATGTCTTGTAATAACACCAGCTCCATCACCCCCACTTCCCTCCAAGGTTAAGGATATTCTCACTGTCCAAGATATTTTGTGTTGAATACATTATTGTTATAACAAACACATGATTTTCATTTTATATTTATTTTTCAAGTATTGTTATTGTTTATATAATCGTATCCTCAAATTTTTGTTATACCTTAGACTATTGTTAGCATTAGAAATTGGGAAAAATGCCAAAACAGTTGCTATGCATTTCTATAAAATTTCCCATTTTATAAAGCAATTGTTACTTTTTGTAAAACCCACGATTTTTGGCACCGGTTTTATTATTTTATTTTTCCAATTAATTAAAAAGATAAAATTACTAGGTAAAAGCAAAAAATAAAAATAGAATAACTGTAGAATGGGATAAAGGTTCCTAATAAACTAAAACTCTTATCCAAACCACCTACTAGGCGCAAATATTTTAATATATGTGGGAATAATGGGACATAAAAGAAATGGAAAAGAAAATTATGATTGCAGATACAAACTATCTTAGTACAAAACTAAAGAAAAGAAAAGGTTACAAATTTTCAGATGCATCATTTCCTGTTGGAAACTAATTCCAATTTAACATTTGGCTAACAGTAATATATATTTTGTCACACCGATTTTATTTTGATTTTAAAATGTTCGTTCGTTTGAGATTGCCAAATTAATGAAAAGATAGCTCACTTTGTTCTTAGTTCTGCAATAATTTTTTTTTTTCACTTCTGCGAATTTTTCTTCTGACTTATAGTTTGACCTTTTATTTTAAAATATTTCTGCCCTTTATCAAGAGATCAAAAAAAAAAAAAAAAAAAAGAGAGAGAGAGAGAGAATCTTGCCAAGTCCAACATGTTACACACAGGAGATAGAGGGTGCATTCTCTCGCCCAATGGGAATTGCCTGCATATAGATTAGCATTAGCAGCTTAATTAAGTCCTTGAGAATCTTAGCCATTGGCGGCCACGTGTACTCGTTCACCAATCAGTGGAAGATAACGTTATCAAAATTGAGATTGCGGGAAATGGTTAACTGCACACGTGTCAACTCGTGAATGGAATCGTTAACCTTCTTTTGTGTCCAAACCAGGCGGTAGTAATAGTGGGCCCCCACAGTAGGAAGTGCCATTTCAGGTCTAACTGTCTAAGACTAGAGTTGCAAACGAGCCGAGTCGAGTCGAACTTTGAGTTAATCGAGCCGAGTCTCGACTAAATTTTATCAAACTCGAGCTCGACGAGCTGGCAATTTTCGAGCTCGAGCTCGACTCGAATCAAGTCGAGTCGAGCTCGAAAAAAATAAAAAATAATTATTTTATTTTTAAAAAAATAAATAAAATAATTTTTTTTCTGAATAAATAATAAAATATTAAGGATATATACGTAATTTCACTATAAAAATAAAAAATAAAAAAATATATATATATAATATACGTAATTTTATTATTAAATAAAAGTAAAAATAAAAAAAATATATATATACTCAAGCTCGCGAGCTAACGAGCTTAATATTCTGAGATCGAGTTCGAGCTCGAGTTTGACTCGAGCCGGCTTGAGCTCGATTAATATCGAGGTCGACTCGAGCTTGACTCGAGCCGCTCGCGATTCGTTTGCAACCCTATCCGCTCGCGAGCGGCTCGATTCGTTTGCAGCCCTATCTAAGACTCTAAGTGGGAGGAAAAGCTCAATTTTCTCACGGGGAGTTTGGACACAAATTATTCCAAAATCCAAATACTGGAGCACTTATTTTAACGTTATATACAACACGGATCATAACAGCCATCATAACGGGATAGGTATGGCACCATTTGAAGCGTTGTATGGGCGAAAGTATGGATCTCTCTTATATTGGGATGAAGTAGATAAGAAACTGATCACTGGCTCGGATTTGGTGGAAAGAACCTTGGAGAGAATTAAGTTATTCGAGAAACACTAAAAGTAGTTCAAGACCAAAACAAGAGTTGGACGGATTTAAAGAGAAGGACCATACCCTACGTGAAGGTGCAATGGACGAATCATACACCACGAGAGGCAACGTGGGAGTTAGAGGAGGATATGCGGAATAGATACCCATATCTTTTTTATCAAAGTACGTAAGTTTCGAGGACGGAACTTTTTGTAAGGGGGGTAGAATGTAAAATCCACGATTTTTGGCACCGGTTTTATTATTTTATTTTTCCAATTAATTAAAAAGATAAAATTACTAGGTAAAAGAAAAAAATAAAAATAGAATAACTGTAGGATGGGATAAAGGTTCCTAATAAACTAAAACTCTTATCCAAACCACCTACTAGTGGGTAGTGCTAGGTTTAAGATTTTATTGAAACCCTAGAAAGAAAAATAACACCATCCTTACCGTTCTTTCGTCTGCCTCCCTAGAGCAAGAGCCGTCAGAGAGTAGAGAAGGAGAAACAGGCAACACCGTCAATCGATCAGACGACTAGGTACCTAAACCTGTAAGTCCCGAGTTCAAGCAAAAAACTTCTCTTTTAAGTTTTAGTAGTTGCATTAATTGTCTTAGAAATTTTACGGATATGTATGGTTGCTATATATATGTAGATATATATATATATATATATGTTTTTAGAAAGATTCATACGTGGATTTGTAGAAATAGGGTGTTCGATTTTAATCTTTGGTTAAATAAGGTTGCCCAAATCTGTTGGAGGAAAACAGAAAAAAAAAAAAAAATGAGAAGAGCTGTGGCCGCCGCTGCTCTGTTTTGGCTCTGCAACGCCACACAGAAAGAAAAAAAAATTGGGGGCCGCCATCACTGGCGGCAAAGAAAAGAATTGGCAAAGGTTGGTCTTCGGCCAACCCAAGACAGAAAAAAAAACGTGCCAGCATGTGTTGCTGACAATAGGCCAGCGACGGCAAAAAGCCTTGGGGTCACAAATGACCCCAATGAAAGAATTGGCCATCACTCAACCAAGTCAAGGATGGTTGGCCAAGGGGTCCAACCCAAAGGAAATTTTTTTAAAAAAAAATGGGAGAAAGATGGTTGGCCTTTTTGGCCAACCAATGAAAACAAAGGACCATGGTAAAAAAAGAAATGGTTGGCCTTCTGGGCAACCATGGCTCTAACCCGAAGAGGAAAAAGGGATAATTTAGATGTTAACCAAATACAAGATAAAATAAATAAATATTTAATAAATAAATTTTGAATATAACTAGTCCATTTTTATAGGTTATCATGGGTATTAAAATTCAGGACCCAATTTAAAGTAATTGTTAGAATTGAAGTATTGGTCATGTAAAACTTATATTTAATTAATTACGTCTAAGATATTTAAAGAAAAATCTAGGATATCTTAATTTAGCCTTATGAGGTTAATGTAGACAGGTGAGATAAATTCTAAGTTGTTAAACGAAACGTTTAAAATAATAATAATAACAATAATAATAATAATAATAATAGTAAATAATAATGCTGACGATAACACTAATATTAATAATAATCATAATCATAATAATAATAGTAAATAATGATTAATAAA